ATGTAATACATTCTTATAATTATACATGCACAGTGTATGTTGTCTAAAACAAACCCTTAAAGAATGAAGTGGGATAAAGTCCATTTTCTTTCTTGTCATAGCCTTAGAAAATCTACCTGGGTCAAAGGCCATCACTTTCTTTTCGAATATCTTATATATAATGCCAGTAGAACTTCACAATATAAAAATATTTTATCAAGCATTTGAAAGGCATTTAGAAGTGATACACACGAGAAAGAGAATTTATGGATGTCAACTTCTTTATTAGGAGGAACACAACGTTATATATGAGTATATACCTACTCCTTCATCAGGTAAATAAATGATATGAGAACATATATTTGTACCTGTAAGAACAACAAAAGTTATAAGATAACAAAGGAGGAAACTTAAATATCATATCATATTTTATCACTTGGATTTGAATTCTTGAAACATATGATTCTTTATTGTGATATTCAATGGTAATCAATACATAAAATATTTACATTTAAAAATATGCAAGCATGTATGATGTCAACAATAAGGGATAAGATTAACAATTTATTTACAATAGTTTATACTTATAAAGACCTCGTATTTCACATAATTGTCGTCTTAACATTTACAACCTCTTACCAGATAACTGGTACATGTACACAACATTAATCACAGCAAACATTGATGTAGTTCTATTAATTATTAATCTTATCTTTTTTCCATGGAAGTAGTGCATTTTGTATGCAGGCTAATTATTTCAATGTTAAACATGTATAGTATTGATTGTTGTCTGCATATATGTTTATGACAAGGACGTTGGTAAGTTGGAAAAGTTTCGCCCAATCCATTTGACTTTTCAATGTCAATAAAATATGTTTAAAACACAAATAACGAACACATAATAATTTAATAAGTATGTTTTAATTCATATTCTAAACGTAAACCCAAACCAAGTATTCATGGAATGAATTGCAATGATGTATAAAGACACACAACCTTTCTTAGAATGTGACATCTACATATACAGTTTCAATAGAACCTCAGTGTCTAAATACCGCTTACTTCACCACAGAATGCACATACGTTCAGGCATTATCTGAACAGTGTCGTCCCTTCAATCAACAAGTTGTTTTTGTTCTATTAGTTTAAGAACGTGTTCTCTAAATTGTGACAGCTCAATGAATATTTATACAGTGAGTAAGCATACGATCAACATTAAATAGTGAAACCCTTATACCATTCCGTTTTGTAACCATTTCCTGATGAAAACTGTTGATGTTCTAAACACTAATTGTCATGAAAGCAATATTTCCGGACTAACCAGCTCCCACTTATATACATTGGCATCGACATATCAACTCAAAGAGCGAAGTTTCATGCAAACAAACAACGTGTACACACATACTTGCCAATAAAATATTATTGATCCATCACATATGCAAAAAAAAGGAGATTTGTAGTAATAGAAATATGGAATATTCATAATGCGTTCTTTTCGTCGATTTATGTTCTAAACATATTCTCAAACTTTCACAAAATTAATGAAATTCAATAATGTATAAAGGTAGTATTACCTATCAACAAAACATACAGACTTAAGTTTCCTGGAGTGTGACATCTGCATATTCCCTTTTAGTAGAACCTTATTGTCTAATACATCTCAGTACATTATAGAATACACATGCAAAGTTCACAAATTCGTAAAGCAGTTCACGAAGCTCACTGAAGAATGTAAACTTAATCGTGCATCTTGTACGCAACGAGGCTGAAACCAGTGGCGGAAACACTATAAAAAAAGGTCCAAAACACAACTATTATACCGTATCAAATACATGACCATCGAATAACCATTTCTTGTGTGTTTCAGTTTTAGACACCATCAATCAGTGTTTGTTCAGTTGATCCTTTTGTTCAGTATTAGTTCAGTTGTTCTCTATGTTCAGTGTTAGGTCAGTTGTTCCCTTCGTTCAGTGTTCAGTTGTTCTCTTTGTTCAGTTGTTGCCTTGTTCAGTGTTAGTTCATTTAGTCCCTTTGTTCAGTTTTGTTCAGTGATAACCGAAGTGGAGTTCTTCAATTAAAAAATCAACATTCTCCCAGTCTGACGACCCAACACAACAACATACATGTACCTACATGCATCACTAACTGATAAGTATTTGTTCCAATTCCATCTGAAAATGGTTGGATGTTTGAGATTCGTTGGTCATGTGTTTCTCTCCTGTTGTACTGCACGAGGTTGTCCTTTTACATCACTCATAAGCATGCTGTTGACAAGCTGTTGACAAGCTGTTGACAAGCTGTTAATATGTTATTGATTCCTAAATACCGTATTGGACGTAATAAGCGTCCAGGGCTCTCTCAAAATTAGAAATAGGAGGCTCTTATTAGAATAATATTTTGGTGAAAAAAAAAGTTGAAAGATAAATTTCGTGGTTTATGCTGACAGCCTGAAATGTTTAAGTACGACAGATATATTTTTTCCAGAATTTAATTGCCATTAATTAAGGGTGCATTTTACACACAAGTGCAAATTAAAAGCGCATAAATAAGTCTTGCGTACATTCATCGATCGGAAGCGGTGCTAATTGGGATTGCCCCATTAGCCAATATATTAGCAAATAGCGTAGGCGCTTATTAAGTCGAATACGGTAGTCCTTTGACACATTAGTGACGGGTGATCCGAATTCTGAAGTTGCTAACTTACAGATCAATATTGCACTTTGTCATATATTGTTTCAGTGTATGCTCAAATATATGTATGTTGCCAACCCTATTTGGCTCAGTATATATACAGATTACACCATGAAAGACCCAACATAACACCCTACATGTTTATACATGCAATGCCAACTGATAAACTTGTGTTCCAGTTCCAGTTGAAGATGATTTTGGGTTTGAGTTCTGTCATCTGTTTCTCCAAATTGGTATAATACACAATTATCGTTTTACATCTGATGTGCATATTTCAAGCTGTTGACATGCAGTATGGATTCCAAAATAATAGTAGTCCTTTGACGCTGCAGTGAAACAGATGATGTCCGATACAATTCCCTATTTTAACTTGCACAATGTGTATCCGTGCTTTTGTGTGAACATTTGAATCGCCTTTGCATGTGTTTGTGACGGGTGCCACCAATGGGTCAGGATTCGCTCACTTTTTTTATTTAAACACACTTTTTGATAGCGATTCAAATACACATGCTTATGACACAGTCGACATCATAAAATGAACTCTGCTTTTAACACAGATACCGTATGGTTATGAAAAGGCTTGTATTTGTACTCTCGTGTTACTGGATTTTCTGGTTCATCGATCACTTGATTGTCTGGTTTGTTTACAGGCTGACGTCGCATGGCAGGAGTACTGCTGTGCTGCGTCAGGCAATAAATACTTACTTTCTTATGCAAATTGTGTGAAAGGCGGGTGCTACCTGGTGTCATCACTGATTTTCAGTGGTCCATTCACATAATTTCCACAGCTATTTGCGCCAAGTGGAATCTGTTTCGGCAGAAAATCTTGGGCTGGTTATTCTGTCATTGACAATTTATGTTTGCTATAATGTCTAGAACGACGTGTTACTCATATGCAATGCAAATAAAAACATCATTTTTACCGTAGGAGAAATTGTTCAATGTCATAGATCAAAATATATAAACTATTTAATTGAGGCTTCTTACATGTTTTATACACTATAGGATACACTACAGCTCAAACGCAAATTACCCAAGAACGTGTTAATAACGCGTTCCGTACGTGCGTCGACGTCTTTAGATTTATCAAAAGATTAATATTCAATTAATATGGCGCCATTTTTTTTCTGATAACACACTAAATAATTGATCACATCCGTAGGAGAGAATACGAATATCAAATATCAACACGCATGGAAAACATATGAACGTCATGGTATCTTGGTATGAAAATTATCAGACATATTCAAATTACTTATCCCTTGTTTCCTTTAACTTGCATGTTATGGACGATCCAATATCTGAATATGTTTAAAATCAGTAAAATGTTAAAATATCTAATTTAGGCTCCTATTTCTATGACAATTGTTCAAAGGTCCCCAAAAGTAGCAATTAAACTAATTAATATTTTGTATATGAGCCTGATGTACGCTGCCTATATTGCTCGACACTTTGACATATTAACCTAGCGAAATACAAAAACTTAAGGGCGAGGTAAGATAAAGGCTCTCTTTGGCCAAATGGAAATGTCAATTTTAAAGTTAAAATGTTCGGAAACCTTTGAAATCTTGGAATGAAATTTATTAGATATTTTAGACTTTCGACTTGCAATGCTAAAATCTATGAAAAGACCTTTGTGTCAGCAAGTCGATGACCCAAGGTAAATATATTACAAAATGTTTGTACTTATGTTAACTTCATGAACGTATTGAAATTGCCAAAGTCTTAGGCTCACTCACATTGAACACATCAGATAACTTTCATAATGATTTGTAGATGTTATCCTCAAGTAGTATATCATTAAGTAGTTCTTTGCGGAATTAATCAGTGTTTGGAATGTTAAAAACAAATTCATCTTATACAAATTCAACACAAACTTAGATATTTAAGACATATCCCTTTTATTCATTAACAAATTGTTTGAGGAATTAATAACGGTAGATGTTAACATTGCCAATACATGTAGTATATGCTTACAGCAGTTATATGTACCTTATTACAATAGAAACGAACGTATTATTTTGACATATCTTAAAAAACAAAAACATTTACCAAATGAGAAAAAAAGTATACTCTTCCTCAAACGAAAGCTCAGAATGCTAAAAACGTGTGACCCCGAGGCAATGACAATAGATAATTCGACTGTGATGAGGTAATGACGTTTTACAACAGTCCCAATGGTCATGTGACCCTTCGTTAAAGTTTACGATGGAGATCATGGGGCGTATTTGTATTTCGCATACGCTCTTCAAAATAATATGCTAATTTTAACAGCCGGAGAAGTTCCTTTATAAGAGCCGTGCCTCCTGTCTCTAACACCAGCAACATCATCCTGCTCTGGTGATCATCAACTCTGCAGCTGCTACAAGAATGAAGGTAACACATTTCCTGGCTATGCATTACTTCATCAGAAACATATATTATATTGGATGAAAGATTAGCACTGTTTATTTTATATTTCTGTTAGTCAAAGTTGATGTCATTTATGTTTCACCATCATAAATACTTACAAGCAGATGTCCTTCATTAATGCACAAAATCACTTAACTTTGCTAGAAACAAAGAAACATTTGGATAAATAAGCATTCTGCAGCACTGTATATCAAACCACTTCAAGTCCACATGTAACTATACATACATTTATACATACATGTAGTTACTCATTTGTTCCTGATTAGGGAAATAATCGTACCGGACTTTGTGTTAGAATGTTTGATTTCAACTTAAATAAAGCAAAAGTAGTTATTATTCGAGTAGACTCGAACCGTCGTATGTAAGCAGGCTTGGCATATCAAGGTCACATATTAATGCACCTGCAAGTGTCATTGATACAGTAATGTCACATGTATGTATTGTTGATCCAAGGATTTTTAGCACAAGAAAACATTCGCGGAGATTGTAATGGACCACTGGAATAAATATTTCAATACTTTGCCTTGTTAGAAGAGTGAACACAATGCACACATAATAGGGATTCAGAAAGAACATAATAAAGTTTGGTATGTTTCTTTTTTCAAGTTTGGAAATTTATTTGGACCTATTATGACTTCAGTTTCAATTCGTTCTTTTTTAACGTGAATGTTAATGTTTATCAGTTCCTTTGCCGTATGCATTTGTTTCATTTGGCTAATGTGCTTTTCCTCAGGTCGTCGTCGCTGCGTTGTCCATGCTGGTCTGTTCCGCCATTGCCCAGGTACCCCTCAGCGGTAACTCCCTCGTGGGTAGGCCCTTCGGTCTTGGTTTCAACAATGGAGGCGTTGTTGGCAACGTTGGTTTTGGTGGTAAGGGTCATGGCTACGGCTACAACCCTAAAGGCTACAACAACTACGGCTACGGTAAAGGTGTTGCTGGTCCCTTCGTCGCCGGACATGGATCTGGTCTTGTAGGACAGGGACCTTTTGTCGGCCATGCTGGTTCCTTTGATGGACACGGTCCACTCGTTGGAGGACACGGTGTTGCTGGACACGGCCCCTTCATTGGTGGACATGGCGTTGCTGGACACGGTTCCGTCAATGGTGGACATGGTGTTGTTGGTAATGGATACGGCTACGGCTACAACCCCTACAACAACAACTACGGCTACGGTAAAGGCGTTGGCGGAGTCGGTGTTACTGGTCCCTTCGTCACCGGACATGGAGCTGGTCTTGTTGGACAGGGACCTTTCGTTGGTCATGCTGGTTCATTCGCAGGACATGGACCCTTTGTTGCTGGTAACGGCGTTGCTGGAAAGGGACACGGCTACAACTCTTACAACGGAGTTGGGAATGGAGTTGGTCTTGTAGGAAATGGACTCCTTGGACAGGCCGGACACGGCCTCGTAGGACCCCTCGCAGTCGGTGGCCACGGTGTTGCTGGTCAGGGACATGGCTACGGCTACGGTACAAACGTCGAACATGGAGCTGGTCTTGTTGGAAATGGACTCCATGGACACAACGGACACGGACTCGCAGGACCTCTCGCAGCCGGACATGGTGTTGCTGGTCAGGGACATGGCTACGGCTACAACCCCTACAACAACAACTACGGCTACGGTCAGAACGTGGGACATGGGGCTGGTCTTGTAGGACATGGCACTGCTGGACACGGATCGAACGGACCTTTCGCTACCGGACATGGTGTAGCTGGACACAGTCTCGCCGGACCTTTTGCTACCGGACACGGTGTAGCTGGACACAGTCTCGCCGGACCTTTCGCTGCCGGACACGGTGTTGCTGGGCTTGGAGTCGGCCAATTCGGATCCAAAACTCATGGTGGAAACGTCGGATTCGGCGGTGTTGCCACCGGCCATTACTACTAAAAACATTTGACGAATGAGTGTGTTTTATACTTCATGGTTTTTTACTTGATATATTATTTCCTTCTTTCGAATAAAGAATACACATAAATGGCCATCTTTTTGTTTCCTTTTGATGATATCAATATCAATGCTCAACTATATGTGTAGCCCTGACAGAGGTTGATGGTATGCATATTTATCCTTCTCTGAGTTTTACTTTACCTGTGAAGAGGGCCGTCTATATATTGTAGCTCGTTACACTTTTACAAACAACTGAACTTACGCCAGAAAGGTCCTCTTATTTTAGAAAACATAAATCTGTTGACAGATTCGATTTGAAGACATCCGATCCTTAACATTGTTTTATTGTTTCGTGATTATTTATCATTAGTTATCGTACAGTGAATATGCTTCGTAAAAATATTGAATAGTGAAACCCCGTTACCGTTTGATTTGTTACGAAGCAATTTCCTTTATAAAAAACATGAGATGTTCAAAAACTAACCGGCTTTCAACCGTCTACACATTCGCGTCGACATGCAAACTAAAATTGCTAGTTTCTCAAACGAAACGATATTCTGAATTACTTGGATCAACGTAAACTCAGAAGTGCCAGTAAATTATAAGTGATGCATCAGTAATGTGAAAAAGTTAAGATATATCAAGTAATGTGCATACTGTATTATATTAATATTCTGAACATAGACTGAAACTTTGTATTTCACGAATAAATTCCAATGACGCATAAAGATTCCTACAAAAAAAGGAGTATAGAGCCTATCCTAGAGTGTGACATCTACATTATCCTTTCAGTAGAACCCTATTGTCTACATACAGCTCAGTTCTTCAAAGAATATACAGTTTTCACATGGTTCATATTCACTAAATTTCACAAAAGTCACTGAATCAACTTGCATCTCGTAATTCTGAGATTAAAATGTGAACTTGTTCACTGGCTGATATTCACATATACTGAACCAAAAAAGTTAAGCAAATTGTAACAAAAAGAATACAAGAACAAGATTTCCATATGTAATATTTATGTATACAGAACATCAGAATCTAACAGCACGTTGCAAACGCAAACTCACCCCCTGTACGGTGACTGTCATTAATATTGTTACAGTCTGGGGAAATTATTTGTGAAGATAAGGGTAGCTACACCAACATGTCTGACTCGCGTGAAGGCACCATTAGCTGGGATCTCAGCTGTACACAGACATCTCATGCTTCTCACAAGCGTGTTGATGTGTGGAATGGTCATGTTGGTGAATAAGGGCGTGTTCAAGGTCACACACATTCCCTATATACGGTAACGTTCCCTTACTTTCCCCATAATGATATCCCATGCATGCTCTTTCGGAGAAAGGTACGGGAACTTGGTTCCTCTGATTGATAGAGAAAGGATCTGTATATGGGCACGGGCATTGTCTTGTTTTAACACATAAAACACGATGTTGCTGAATGAATGGAATGACCACTGGTCTGGTAAAGTTATACACAAATATACACAAATAACATGAGTATGGAGATTCCCATTAACGATCCCAAGTTCAGATTTTCCATTACCATAAATTCCCTCCCATACCGTAACGCTTCCATCGCCGTATCGATCTCCATAACTATCAGCGCTAATTACTGTAAAGTGTTGTCTTCCATTGTCTATTGCTTATCGCCTATCATCGCCTATTATCTGTTGACTTCATTTGTTAAGTTTCCACCTTTAGTTATCTTATTACTTTTGTTGTTCTTACATGTACATATATATGCTCTCTGTCTCATATCATTCATACACCTGAGTAAGCATATACCCCGAAACGTTGTGTTCCTCATAATAAAGAAGTTGACATCCATAATTAAATTAAGTGTTTAATTGAGGTTTCGTCTAGTATTATTAATTTGAGAGGCGTGAAGCTGCTTATTCTTGTTTACACTATATTGTACAACTCAAAAGCAATTTATCCACCTTCCGTACGTTTGTGTTTAGATAAATGTCAAGATTGATATTCAGATAATATGGCGAAAGACTATTTTGAACACGGAATTATGATAAACCCAATGAATACATTTAGCTGACTACAAACAGTGCAAATCCTCTAAGTCTTTTGCGAAGCGTTACCGAACACATAATATCCTTACTATTAGATAGTGATTCATAAACACATGCTCATGATAAAGTCGGAATCGTACAATCAACTCGACGTTTAGCAGAGATTTCTTATGAATATGGAAACTTAAGGTATTGTGACTGATATTGTATGATAACCTACTGGAGTAGCTGTACATAGATGTATGTATATTCGTTTGATCAAGATCGTTTATCTTGTCAAATATCAGCAAGAAAATCAGACCTAATTCCAATGTAAGGACATGCAGCGTATGACTTAGAACATAGGCGAATCGGAGTAGCGAAGCAAGTTTTGACGCAACTGGATTATAACCTCATCCGCTAAAGTCATAGCATTGTACGATGTCATCAATAAAATGTCGCATAAATTTAGAACTCTAGAACGATATTTGTACTCTTAAACTTTACTAGTTTTAAATAATTACGATCACAATAATTAATGATGCTGTATAGTTATGGGAAACCGTAAACACTTATATATGGCTGTATATTAAAGAATGAATTTGGCGGCTTAGCTTTATCTTGAACAAGCGCGCCAAGCGCAAGAAAACCCTCACTCACTAACCACCTTATTTTAGTATATACTGTTAAATTCAATTGGAGACCCGGGAAGATCAGAGGTGGAATAGGTCTCCAGCAACTCGTGCTTACCATAAGAGGCGACTAACGGGATCGGGTGGTCAGGCTCGCTGACTTGATTGATGCATGTCATCGTATCCCAATTGCGTGGATTGATGCTTATGATGTCAATCACTGGATTGTCTGGTCCAGGATCGATTATTTACAGACCTCCGTCATATAGCTGGAATATTGCTGAGGGCAGTTTTAAACAACAAACAACAAACAAACAACATTCAATTGGAAATACCAATCCCAGAAAAAAAATCTAAACACGGAAAAGTTATGTACAGTTATAACAATAATAATCGGGGCTAAGAAATACACCATGCAACAAACAGATATTTTAGACTGATACGTTCCACTCACATTATAATTATCCTCATTTTTATATTTATAGCGACCTGGATAATTTAAAACTTCCATATATTGTTGTGAACCTGATGACCTAGAGCTCTGATGATGGCAATTTATGCAAACACTGTTTTAATGATGTGGAAGAAGATGGCCACAAAGGGCGGTCATTTAAGAAATCGTTTGTGTAACTAAACTATACCGCAGGGCACGTTACCCTTGACCTTCGTCATCGTTAATACCCGGCTTGCTTCCTTGAATGTCGTGTTTAGAAAACTTTTATTGGTGGGCTGAGTTATTCATGGGTTTATTGACAGTGTAAGGCATTTAAATGTGGACACTAGGGTGGTTTGGGGTATTTTACCCATAGTAGCACGGTATAGGTGAAATTAGCTGAAATGACGCAGGTCTCACGTTTATCACCCGGGTGAAACCCACGAGTACAGGTATGATGCTGACAAACAATACATCAAAATCAGGGCGAATCTGGTAGTCGAACCATAGAATGATGGCACTATCGCGACTTAAACTGCTGGGCGAAAGAAGGCATACACTGAAAATTAGATTTAACCAAAACATTACAAACTTTATCAAACCCTGACTAAGCTGACAGTTACCGAAAAACTGCAAACCTGAGGTCCAAAACACAATTATATAAACCGTATCAAAGACATCACCATTGAATAACCAATTCGTTTTAACTACCACCAAACATTGATGTATACGTTGTTTTCCCGGCAGTTAAGACTCATTAAGTGACAACTCTACTTGTCTAAAAGTAAATTATAAAGTCAAACAGCAATATGAGACACATACCTTTGTGATAGTATATGGCTAGAATACCACTTCCGCATCTTATTCCAAGGTATGTAATTAAACAAGTGTCGTAATGATTATTTCATCAAGTAACGTAAGAGAAGTGCACAAGTACTTTTACAGGCAGTAAATTTATTCAAATCAGTTTCAAAAAATATTCTATGATACATATATGTATTCAATATTAGGATCAGAAATTCATAATCACCTTTAGCATCAATCTTCAATTTAAAACCATGATGCCAAGCATTGTAGTACTAGAGATGATCTTTCGTAATACCCTAGAAAATCCTCAGAAAAAAATGGAATTCTAGCACAAGAAATGTGTCTATTTCAATTGTTTGTGACACGATAAGCTGTACACACAGGACCCTGGTTTAAAAAATAAATAAATAAAACAGTCTACAAAACAAATGCTTCATACACCAACTGGTAATTAGAAGTAAATACTTATGAATATGACAAAAACAAACATCTTAGGGAATATTCTTTCCTTTTCTGATCATTTTCCGTACATAAGCCGAGTTAATAGCTTCAGGCTTAGAAACTTTAATTTCAGCGCATGTATGCAAATTTTCAACTTAAGGTTCACTGTCATAGAGGACATTTCTTCTTGTATGTAAGACCTCCACACCTTTCCTTAAATAGTTTAGTTATTATAACTATAATTTGGGGAACTCTGCTAATATGTGCCAATGCATTGTCATCTTATTTCCTTCATGATGCATAGCATCAAGGTTTTCGTCACAGTGGGTATTCAGCACAAGACCAGAGACATGCATCTGTCATTTCACGGAATCTACTTAGCGTAAAAATGTTTCTTGCTTGACATTCGTACATGAACGATTACGTGTTTTATTTTTTCAACACGAGTTTAAGTTCACAGATATGAAGACATATGTGACCAACTCATTGAGAAAAAACTCAGGTATAACAGTCATTTTGTTGAAACACATCTTACTCAGAATGATGAAACCATGACTCACGTTCTACTGTATAACACAATATATAAAAACAAGTAAATTACAACTACGATGGAAGTGGCGGGCGACCAACATCAGTAACTCGTCATATTGAGTGAGTGAGTTGAGTGTCAGACTGGTATGTGAGTAAAGCCCGAAGTGATTTAGGCCTTAGACGTTTAACACTTAAATGAAAC